ATGCGGAGCTGTTGGCTAGGGCAGTAGTGCTGTCTGGCGCGGGAAAGCCTCCGTCTGCAAGACTCCATGGGGATTCTTAGCACAGAAACGCATGGAAACATGTTGGAGTATGTTGTCGGATCCGACATGGCCCGTTGAAAGTAAATGGCTAGGCATTGGGCAACAACGTGTCACAGAAAACCTAAGACTGTCATGTAAACATGAGTCATGTAGGTGCTGATCTTCTCGGGGCCTTCAGCAGCTTTGAGCTCTGACCTAAATGCACAGCCTGCCGCTCTTCGGCAGCCGACCCGGACATGCTCAGGTAAAGTTCTGGGCGTCGGTCAGCCTGGTGAGAACATGGTCCTGGGAAGTCCGAAGGCTGTTGGCGAAGTACAACATCAAAGTACCCTTTATCGCTCTGGGTAAATTGCACGAGCTTCAGGCAGCTAAACCTGATTACAGCCCATATGCTGGGCCGTTCAAAGAAGCGCATCCTGCTTCAGCAGGCCGTGAACGCCTGCTTCCCTGACATCAGGGGTCGGAAGCCTAGTACTAGGAAGGCCTCGGCTTAGAAGCTTGAAGTGCCCTTATCACATCTCAGCCAGAATTTCCAAATGCCCAGGCTTGACGGGGAGCCTAGACGGAGCATGCGGCAAGTCGTCCTGTGGCAAAGCTTCACGTCGGCACAGGGGCACGGATGAACAGCTTGCCGTACCTGCACTTTGAGGACTGAAGACACAACGCGTGAGCAAAGCACTCTGAGGGCTTGCACTGTAATTTGCAGGCGGGGTTCAGCCCTGATTTTCAAGAATTGCGTCCTGTTGAAGCAGAGGCGCCCACTGCATGTTCCGAAAGTGCTACTACTACTGCCGCTACTGCTGCTGCTACTGCTACTACTACTGCCACTGCTGCTTCTCCTTCTCCTCCTCCTCGTACTACTGCTACTACTACTGCTGCTGCTGCTACTACTACTACTACTAGTACTACTAGTACTACTACTACTACTACTACTACTACTGGAAGCTTCCAATTATGTGTCGTTTATTGAAGGGGGATGGTCCTCAGGAGATTGATCAATCGACGGGGAGGGGGGGGGGTGATAGGGTGTGTATTGCGGAGTTGACATTAAGCCTGAACAGCAGAAGAAAACATTGTCCCACCCCAAGCCCTCAGCTCAAGCATGCGACGGACTGATTTTAGAATCATGTTGTCAGCCACAAGTCCAAGAGTCACCGCGCACACACACACATGCCCATAAATAAATTGCTAGTGGAACCTATGCGTGACCTGTGCTCTGCGATCACGCCGAGCTATCTCGATCCCACATACAGTACAAGGTCCTGAATACTGCCCTTCACTGGTACTGGGCAAAGTCCACACAACAATGTGGTCACCAGTAGGACTGTGAACCCCCAAGGCGTTGGAGTTTCATCCGCCCAGGACCCTTCCTCGCAGGATTGAACAAGTGTGCACCGCAGCTGCCGGGTAGGTTGCTTCAGGATTCAGGGGCTCTGCTTTGCTTGCAACTTGCATGCAGATGGGGTCAAGGCCTTGTCTAAAACCAGTCAAGACTTGCTCAAGAGACAGGAACTTCAGACCTGTTAACCGACCATCCCACAAATACCGGTAGATTGTATTCCATATACTGACATACTGATACTTTACAACGACCAGTGCCTGGCTAGAAAACAGTACGGCTGAAATTCCTGCGCAGTCTTTACATTACGTTGGGCTTTGGTTCTTAGCAATATATAGCTAAAAAGCTTTGGGGGCCAGTGTACGCGCAATCTTGCGCCTTGGTGGAGGTTCGGCCATCCATTGGCAACCCAACACTAGCATGACTTGGTGCCTCACAGCAGAGCCACAGGCGCTGGATAAGAGTTCGCGTTTTGGCGCTCACAAGTGTGTCATTACAAACCCACACTTGGGCGGACCAAGAGGTCCAATGGGTGGCCACTGCAATTTTCTTCACTCTTTTCTTCATTGTTGTCATTTATTGTATGAAAATCTTTGCTCTGAGGAGAGCTGATACAATCTCCTTCTTCAAGCTCTTGTTGTTGCAATGCTGGCTCAACAGTATGTTTCCCGAACCAACAACACCAAACTGTGGCAGCAACACCGCTAGTGGATCTACTTCTTGCCTTGCATTTCAAAAATGGACATGCTTGCATGCACCGCACTGACTGCATGTAACTGCGCCTGCCTGACATGTAAAACCTACCGCAAAAGTAGGTCACAAGCTGCGCATTCAAGCACCCATGTCGACCATTTTGTTTGCAGGTACAGGAATCTGCGTCCAGACTCACTTCCAGTCATGTTCCATAGCTTCGTTGGCATGGCTAAGAACCAACCGCCATGCCCCCTGCGGTATTGTTTGTTTGCATCTCAAATCAAATCATCATGATAGGTAGAACATGCATGGGTTACAAACTCTTTGGTACAGAGGGTGACACACACACACACACACACCCAATCGGGAGGGAACACTGCAATGCAGGGATTGTGCATGTCTGATGGCACCGAACATGTTAGCATCATGGATCATGTGTGCAAAGCTCGGATGGTCTTGTTTTTCCAGCCATCATGGAAGACTCAATTGAAACAATCTCTAGTTATCGCCGGACTGCGACTCAGCAGGTTCTGACGGCTGAGTGAACACTGACTCATCATCCGCGAGCGGTTCATCAAGATCATGAATATCAAAGAATTGGTCCAAGATTTCACGGATTTGCCTGATTGAGACACCAAGATAATGTCGACATTCAAGGTCCATCTGTCCTTGAAATTGTCTTTCACAACCACGAATAATTGTCCTCCACATTTCTGCTCAGAAAGTAAATGTAATCTACGACAATACGAAAGAGTGGCCAGATAGACATTTGGCCAGCTGATTTAGTGTACTTGCCACGCAAGAAATTCTACAGCCCACATGCGTACTAGGTGTCTATCCGGGAGGCGCACCGTAGTCAGGCCAACCGACCATCTGAGCCCACTGCGCCGCTTCTGTCTTGTGCTGAAGTCACTGCTCACCGCCAAGAATGTATGAAGGTAATGAAGGCTGTGCTTGCAGTGTGTGCTGGGAAACATTGCGGCGGCAGCTGCAGAGTTGTTGACGTGTTTGCTGAACGGCGTGCTGTGGATTTGCGGCGGCGCTGCGGGAATGACACGGTTATAGATGGTAATGACGAGTTGGCTGGGCGTGGGACCCCTGATGCTGGTCACTGAATCCGGAATATCCACATGTTTCAAGGCGCTACACTCATGAAATGCGTCAGCCTCGATCTCTGTCACAGAGTTAGGAGTCAGGATGCTCTCAAGGGCAGAGCAAGAAAGGAATGCTCCCGCATCAATACTGGTCACTGCAAGTCTGAAGTTCAAGCTACTCAAGTCTGAAAACTTTGTTGCAAACAACTCAAGCTCAAAAATCTCAAGTTCAAATTACTCAAGTCCTCAATGCGGCACTGCAAGCAAATGGCAGACAGTCTCGAAAAGGAAAGCTTAGTGCTTCCAGGGCCAAATCAAAATTAGAATGCCTACCTCCTGCAAATCCTTGTCCAAAAGTTCCAAAAGTACGACCATGAAAATTTTGGTTTGCAATCTCCAGTAGGGTTTAGGACATAAGGCCAGACAGGGCCCGCCCAGCATCTGAGTCCACTGCGTTGTTTCCGTCTTTGTTCTAACGTCACTGTCCAAATCGAACAATAATGAGTAGAGGGCAGTAATTGCCGGGGCTGTAGCGTTGCTCTGAGGGCGGAACATTGGATTAATCATAGGCATCATTGTATTTTGATTGGCTGCAAACTGGGTAGCCATAACAGCAAATTGCATGCTTGCGGCATGGGCTTGGTACAGTACGTTGTACCCATACCTGTTGAACTGCTCCTCATTGGCAAACTGGACCGCAGTGGACATAGGTCCCATAGAAAATTGATCGAAGGTCCCTGAGACTCTCTTTGAGCAGGATTGTCTTCAGCCCTTGACACCCCATTTTGGGCAGGAGGATGATTGGGCTGCGTACTCATTGCACCAGACCCTGCTGGTGTATTTGCCAGCCAGCTAGGTCGAACCGGCATCGCTGACTTAGGTCGTATACAATGCAAAAGCTGAACAGCCAAGATTTGGGCCTAAATTGCAGTGTTTGCCAGTTTCATTCAAAGGAATCTATACATCTTCAGTAGGACTTCAGCGAAGGAATCAATCGATTGTTTCATAACTTCATGACCTGAGCGTCAAACAGGTAAATCAATTGAATGAATCAACATTTTCAGAAGGAAACTCTTCCTGTCGCTTGGAAATCAGAAGAAATCAAAAGCTTCGGTTGGTTTCATTGCGTATTCAGGTTGGTGAGGACAACTCCCCACTAAGATGGCGCCCAGAGGGAAAGCCGCACTGAATACACACTTCGGCGGACCAAGAGGTCCAATGGGTGGCCACT